ATATACTCAATACTGTGGGCAATCCCCACAGGAGCAATTTGGGGTGAAGTGTCTTGCCCAGGGACACAACGACATGCTGACTGCAGTGGGATTTGAACCTGTGCTCCCCTAATCCGAACACCAACGCTCTATCCACTGCGCCACACGCCTCCTCCATCGAATCAAGGCACATACTGATCAACACCAAGATAATCTCCAAAGAAACAAAGTTAAAAGAATACAAAACTGAACACTAAAAACATTTATTATATTTACTCAACTAATAACTTAGCTCTAATCTTTGCTTCAGACTTGTATAAAAGTTAGAAAATCCTAAATCTGCTTTGAGCTGCCTGGTAGAGTATCCTATAGGCTGTAAACATTACCAGCTGAGTTGAAATAATAGCAGTGGCGTGTTGGCTGGTTCTTTCACCAGAAGTCCAAATGCAATTTATGGGTCTCGCCATATATGACTGCAAGATGTGGATATGTTCTTGGGGTAGCAGACGTGCCAATTTTCTCCATGTTGTCTTCCTTAAGAAGTTTCTTATATATATAGACTATAAGCCAAATAAAATTATATAACTGTAATTACAGCAGACAGTCCTTGACACACATCAAGTTTGAATAACAGTGATAAAGGTAATTGTTTGTGAAAGCAAAAAGCAGACTGTCTGTCTATTACTGACTGAGTGCCAACTGTGAGGTGTAATATAATAAAGGAGACTGTTTCTCCTGAAAGGCTTTATTGTTACGACCGACCACAGAGTCCAAAGTACTGAAAGAGAGGCGTGTGTGAGTGTGTGTCTGTGCCGTGCATGCACTCTTTTTACTACACAACATTCATATATATGTAGGCTTACAAACCAGTGACCTCATTCCTGCCCCTGCTGTGGTAAAGTTGTGGTTTACAACAACACGCTCACAACCCAGGCACAAAGTTATTGGGGATTTTTCCGAAACAATAACAGATCTGTCACTTTAAATTCGACTCCAGTTCTTTAACTTTATGGAGGTTCCTTTTTATACACCCTGTCCATACACAGAAGCTGTGTGCAAACACTATAAAAAGCAAAACAATTTAAGATTTGGATAACTTGAAATGTCATTTTTATATTATTGTGTAATTCAATATTTACACCAAGTCTCATTAAAAAAGCAACCTTTTTTTGCTTTTGCTGGACTAGCTCACAAGTGACTTTCTGTTGGGCACCAATGCTCTCATACATCCATTCATACATCCACCCACGTCACTGTCGGTTCATTAGCAATGAAGAGATCTCATCTGGTGACACCGTCTGCCCCTGTGGAGGCAGAGAGAGAGACAGAGAGGGATGCCACTTTGAGTTGGCAGTGCCACAGACATGGGGAGATTATGCTTGGCTTGGCAGTCGGCATGGCATATCTCTATCACACACACACACACACACACACACACACACACACACACACACACACACACACACACACACACACACACACACACACACACACACACACACACTACATACACACTACTACATACNAAGTACCAGGGGAGGCCCTTGCACGCACGCACATGCACACGCACACACACACACACACACACACACACACAGCACTGGCGTCTGAAGTATATTTAGTCAGATTGATGCCACTGCCAGGCGGTGTTAATGCCAACCTACATTATGGCAACAACACTATAATCTCGGGGACAGCTCCAAAACACACACACTGACCATGATGATATGATGATGATGATGTGTGTGTGTGTGTGTGTGTGTGTGTGTGTGTGTGTGTGTGTGTGTGCGTGTGCATGTGCGTGCGTGCAAGGGCCTCCCCTGGTACTTTCAAACATATGCTAGTAGTGTCCAATTCTAAATCCTCTCCCTTTTCTGTCCCTATTTTTAGGTCTCTATTCCCATGTGTGAAGTTTTTATCCAGTCTTGGATGTGAAAGGTGAACTACGTCGTCCTTCACCAGAGGAGTAGTGCTTCTTCAGAGACTCTTCAGAACTAAGGACGGTTTTATAACGATTACACTGAATATCAAGAACTTGAAAGGAGCTACTGCAAAAGCAAACAACAAGAGGGAGAATCTGCGTTGGGTTTACAGAGCTCAGCAGATCCTGAATCCTCACCAACAACGACTAAGCCAGAACAAGTCCAAGGGATATCGTTCTGCTCTGAACCAGAACCAGACTCTAACAAAAGATAATAAGAGAAATATTGAGCATTAAGTGGAAACTAGGCCATAATCCAGCTGAAAGTCCCTTACCAGACTTTAACTTTTGAAAGGAAACAGTTTGTTCTAAGTGTGCCAAGATGATGACCATGATGATGATGATGGCGGCCATGATGGTGACCTGCAGCTCTTTGTTCCTGCTGGGTCTGGCCGCCGCCCACGCTTCCTCCCCTACCATGACACGCACTTCCTCTTCATCTTCTACATCCTTCTCTTCTTCGTCCTCCTCCTCACCACGCATGAAGCTCTCATACAAAGGTAAGAACCAACGGTTTTTTTGCAGTGGAAAAGCAAAAGAAGCACATTTGGCTTGTGTGTGGGGGAGTCTTTGTCTCTTCCACTGCACATAATGTGTACTTTATTCTGTCTACACACACCCTCACACAGACACACACTTTCTCTGTTTCATGTGAGATTCCATCATATCCTTTTCAAACTAAACAGTCCTGAGCAGCAGCCAGCTGTAATTTGTGGTTCTCTCGGATTCACAGCCACACACAAACAGATGCGCACACAAACACACACACAAATGCAGCTTAGTGGCAGGGTTTTGTGTTTCATCCCGAGTGTTGTAAATTAGAAGAAGGCAGCTCAATGCCCAACACAACCACATAAACCAGGGATGTGTTCCATCATTGAAAGATGGCAATTACAGGCTGAACAAACTCACCGAGGCTGTGAGGCTCGTCGAAGGCCGTCTGCCCAGCTGGGATATGTGCTCCCTTTAATTTAGGCTGAAGGCAACAAGAAGCACGCTGGATCGAAAGAGCAGAATATTTTAGTTTTAGCTGACACATGAAGGGCAAGAAGAGATCCCAATGACCTCATGAATGTCTGAAATCAGCAGAAAAACAGCAGCAGTTAATGTATTTATCCAGTACAGTAATTAATGTCTGTCTGATGAATAGGTCATATCTTGCAATCATCTAAATAGGCTTGATATTGCGTTCATTAGACAATCTTTTATGTGGTTATTCAAGTCCAAGAAGAACTGGCTACCCTAGCATGACGTTGTTAGTTGGTCAGTTGTCTTGGTAAACATAAGGAATTGATCATGCCGATAATTAACATGCCTGTTAATGCAATATTAATTATTTAAAAATGTATAAAAAACGAAATGTCCTTTTCAGTACCAGTATCTTTGCCCCCAAGGTTATTATAATCAAATAACACACAATATGTTATCAGGGTGGAACTGAAAAGTAATACATTTGCTGAAAATGGCACTTTAATAATAGCAGCAGACCTACAGCCCCTGATGTCATGCAGGCGGCTTTTGGGTGGCGTCTGAGGCTTAATAAAAGTTATAAATTGCCATTAGAACAATGGCAGACTAATAAAGCCATTTAAAAGTCGGAGTAGAGAGGGCCCTGCTCTTTTTGTGAGTTCCTGGTTTAAGTGCAGGGCAGCAGTCCCTTTATTTCTTCAGACTTCTCTTTTTCCACTGGCTTGGGTTAACTATAGCTTAAGTTAACAAATACAAGCAGAATTTTCCTGGGCAATGTTTCCCTAGAATGACTTCTTGCCAAGTTAGAAAGAGAAAAGACACTCAATGTTTCCATTGAGACCAGCGCAGTGTCATTACTGTCAGGGCTTTGTCCTGCCTGTTAACATGTCACTGGCCTTAGGACACAGAAATGTAAATACTAAAATTAAGCAGTTCTTGATCAACCTTATAACTTGTTACACCCTTGGGGCAACTAACTGATCTGAATAATCTGATGACCTGAGGTTGTTCTTGTATTGAAGCTTTGATCCCAAAGTATTTCTTAGGTCAAGGACAATCATCCTGATGTATAAACTGGACAAAACCTGACTTACTTAATCTTTCTTGACACCTTTGATCGGAGGCATCTGGTATATTTCTGTTGGTGTGGAGGTTGCAGAGGACCGTTCACCATATGCAATAACTGAAATCAGTTTTGTGTTGTAAAGCTATGGGATGCCATCAGTATATCCATGTATGTATTATACACACAATGCACATTTAAAAGTTGCCACTCTCTTTGTGATTTCAGAGTTGCAGCAGTTTCATGGAGTGCGTCGGTTCGAGCTGGAGCGTTCCTGCTGCTTCAGCGCTCTGCTGCTGGACGAAGAGAGAGGCCGCCTCTTTGTTGGGGCCAAGAACTTCCTGCTGTCGCTATCACTGGACAACATCGCCAAGCAGGAGCACAAGGTTGGTCAGAAACAGAATTAGTCACCATAAAATATGTGGCTGTATGGAAAAGCTGTTGACTTTCCACACATTATTTGATTGTATTGTGTATTTTATCTTCACAACAAAGCAGTAATTACTCTTCATCGTAGGGAATCATACTTACGTTTTCATGGCGATATTTTGTATTAATGAAGAGTACCAGAACTTTGCACCGATTAGAGACTTTATGGGTCTCTTATCATAAAATTACTTTATTACTTTTACGACAAACTAGATCGAGGAGATTATACTGGCACGGGATGGAAATTAAAATACCTTTTCATTTACAACCACTGCCATATTGTCTAATTCCTAATTGTTGTCGGGCCACAGATACTTTATGATTTTGTTTTCATGTGGACCCAAAGGCATGAAGAAAGACAAACATTTGAAACAGTGGAAACTTTTAACTAACATGCTCCTTTGAAAACGACTGAATCATATCTTGCACATATGAGACCATTTACTGTGCGGGTTCACATGTAAGAAGAGTAGAAACAGGAATGTGGGATTAATAGAGAAAAAGGTAGAACATCAAAGAGATGGAGAGAGATGAAAAGAGAGCATTTATCCAAAATAACGTTGTGATTAATTTCCAAATGACATACTTTGATTGAAACCTTTGGTGTAGAATATTAGTCACAGACATGGCCCACCTGCGGAAACTTGATTACATACACCGGAGCTGATAATAGATTTACACAAAAATGTATTCAATGGCAAAAACAAGTGCACTTCAATCCATACAGTAGATACACACAAAAAACATACTCACAAAATACAGGACATCTGTTCAGAGCTGTTTGGAGAAAATTACATGGTTGGTGCGTTAGATGTGAAGCCGCTTTTGTTTTTGGTTATATGGATGACTTTGATTTATGACCTGTGTTTGCAATTTCACAATACTTGAAGCTGTTTTTCAAGACATCCTTCTTTACAATGAGAAGGGAGGATGAGAGGAGGCAATGATGGAAAAGAAAGGAAATAAATCTGGCCAGGGTTATGAGACTATATCTACTATTACGGTGAAAAGATAACAGAAGGTTGGAGCTCTAATCTTTGAGTGTTATTCCATAGAAAGAAACAATCTTTGCCATATAATACATGGGAAAGTAGCAGATTTAGAGAGGGAAGAAGCGAGTTTAGGTTTTAAATCATTTCTCAAAATGTTAATCAAGCAGATTGAACATTTCTAAATTAAAACAGATTTAGAATGTTTATTTCAGAGACAGGATCGTCTGACCTTTGTCTGCTGTGTTTCAGATCTACTGGCCCGCTCCGGTCGACTGGAGGGAGGAGTGTAACTGGGCCGGCAAGGATATCACGGTAAGTCTCTAACACCTTTCACCTTTTATCAAACCTAAGCTGTTTATTGGTTCATGGAATTCAGACCACACTTATTATCCACGACCTATCAGCAAAACAATGCGGACTGTACATCCTTTTCTAATAATCTCATCAGCCCCCAGACGTCATACAATGCTAAGAGTTAAATAGAAGGGCTGAGGAGCACCTCGAGGAGGACGGTCCACTCCTACCCAGAACAACACAATGCTACCTTTTAATCCACTGCAGTCATGGGAGTCATCACAAGACAGAAACACCATGTTTAAAGGAATAACATGTAATAATAGGAGCAACACTCCTACTTTTGGACCTGCCCTGGTGAGATCATTTCCTCAATATCTGTTTGTCTCAAACCCTATCTTAGATATGTACGATTCCTGCACTTTCCACTCAGTGATTTAGTGTACATTCTGTGGTTTTATGAAGTAAATATATTCCTTAAATATAATATTAATGAGACACAGAGGTAAATAAGTTCATCAAGTTTATTGTAATGTTACATTAACAAGATGGGCGGAGAAAAACAGTCAAACAGGAACCCTGTAGCAGACAACAAGAACAACTATTCACACAAATTCATAAGCAAGTGGCCTGAGTGGAACTACCACAGTAGATGAGAAATAAAATCCAGTGTGGGGAAGTGTCGGGTTGATAAGAAGGAGAGGTGATCAGCTGGTTGCTGGCAAGTATGATGGTAGACAGGGTCAAGGTGATTAGCAAAACGAAAACAAGACGCACACTAACAGGAACACACACACACACACACACACACACACACACACACACACACACACACACACACACACACACACACACACACACACACACACACACACACACACAAATAGGCAAGGAAGACACAGGAATAGTGTGGAAAGGGGCAAAGATTTGGCTGTGACCAAATGTAGTTAAACAATTAGATAAACCCAGTTAGCACAGCGAGATTCCTTAGGAACCTGATCCGTTGTAAACACATTACAGAGTTTTAAAAAGAGAGCATGTGCATTACAAAGACTTAACAGATGGTGAGTATTGCTTTGACAGCAATACAAAGGGATATAGCCATATAGGGAAGGACAGGAAGAGGTGTTTCCTTGAATAATTTAGTTAACATTACGACTTATTCTGAATTGGAACTAAGTACTGTATCGTCCAGAGGTCAGTTTCACAGCTGAACAGAGTATCTTGTCTCACTAATAAACTTAAAGCAAAGTGATTAGGCTGTGGTTCCAAAATAAGGTTGGATGTTTGGGAGAAATCTGTTAATTTGGAGGCTGCATGTGTTAGGTTACATAAGAATGCAATGTATGTTTAACCTTTATTTAACAAGGAAGGCATGATTACTTCCACCAAGGAGGTTATTTTTTAGTCTCTGGTTTTTTGGTTTGTCTGTCTGTTTGCAGGATTACAGAAAATATTCTTTCTGGCTCCTATGCCCCTACATACAACTCAGAAACAGCTAAACACTCACATCTCTCACATCTCTCCTTTTCCGTGTTGTTCCCACAATTAGAATCAGAGGCCTTGAACACGTTAAGTTGGAAGTTCAACTGCACAACTTAGGTAACTGGAAAGTCCAAGGAACACAGGAACACACTGATACTCTTGATGTGCGATTCTAGTTGAGGTTAAATATGTCCTTTATAAATTGTATATAAAATAGACATGTTCAAAGGATTAAACTAATGACCAACTGTAGTGGTTTTAGGACTATTTCCCTGAACAAAGCCACCCTGCTACTTCCTTCTTTTTATCGGCTGCCAAAACTGTTTGAAAATCAAGATTTTCTATTTTGACACAAGAGAAACATTTCATTTCTAAGAATATGTCAGGTAAAAATTGAATGTGCTGATTATGTGTCTAAATATGATGTGTGTGGCTCAGCTTTACCGACATGTAAAGGCCACCAGGAGCCTATAGACCACCCAGGATTACATCACTCACAATTAGCGATCTCATTTATATGTGTGTGTGATTAGGTGTGTGAGTGTGTGTATGTGTGTGCGTACAACAGCAACTTCACATATGCACATGGCGACATTCCCCATATGCCTTTATATACTGTATTCGTAAGTTTAACCATGTGCATATGTTTGTCCGTGTATGTTTAAGTATCCGATTTGTGTGTGTAATTCTTGTGTGTGTGTGTAAAACAAGCCCTTCATCAGTGTGATTACACAGCTGTAGCAGACAGACAACGGGCTCCATTCATTGAAAACTCTGGGCTACAGTTTCACCTGACCAGGAGTCTGTTTGAGTGTGTGTGTGTGTGTGTGTGTGTGTGTGTGTGTGTGTGTGTGTGTGTGTGTGTGTGTGTGTGTGTGTGTGTGTGTGTGTGTGTTTCAAACAGAGGGTAACAGAGGCAGGGGTAATGGAGAGAATTAGTACAATTGCTCCAAAGGAAGAAGGGATGGCGTCAAGGGAGAAAAAGATAAGAAAATAAAAATGGGGGAATTCTGGGGGAATTTTAAAGACAAATGTTGATTCAAACAAAAGAAAACCCGAATTTTGAAAACAAATATTGCATTGAAAGGAGCTTTCCCCTGATGAGTTGTTATTCCAGCCCTTCTGGCCTTGGAAATGTTATTTTTAACCTTTGTTAAACATTTACGCCCCTCTGACTTTTCTTCCTTGTTACTTTTGGTATCTTTTTGAACACTCACCCACACACTGAGAACTGAGCTGACCTCACACCGTTGACCCTTATTACAGAGAAGTGTTTCTCCGTAGGAAGAAGCCAACATCCCTCTCCCCCACTGGATCTCTTCTCTCCGGCTTCCCTACCGCTCTCTTCTACTCCTGCTCTCTTCCCATGCTCTCTCCCTATCTCATATTAGTGGTTCTCTGGGAACCAGAAGTTTCTCATGTTGTTTACGACCCTCTCAGTCCTCCCACCGTCTCTATGTACTTGTTTGTGTAAATCTTTCTTATTTATGAGTTACATTTTGCTATACAGAACAGGAGGGTTGTTGCATTTTCACCTTTCTCTTAATTAAGTTCACTGTTAGCTACCTCAAAATGTTTTTTTTAGCAAAACTTACACTATCCCTGTGGCTCAAAAAACACTCATCTGAAGGCTTAGAGAAAAAGTAGCCCGCATAAAGACAAGTAATAAACACTTCATCACTCAAACAGACACCCATAGACCAAAGCAAAGCCACCTAACATGCACATAGACACACTAACACAAACACAGACACATGTACATAAACACAGTCAGACAGTAGCAGTAAACAGTTGACAGTTCATCCAGACACTCAGTCTGACTCAGCACTTTGAGTGTAGAGCGGGAGCCATATTTAAATCTTCAGAAGTGATGGATTGTGTTTGTGTCATGTTACCACATGTTAAAAGACGATCGGCTGTTAAAGTTGATTGACCGACTGGTTAGGAAAAGAGGTTAACTTTGAGGTTAAGCAACGGAAACTGTCCTCACTACAACAAAACACAATTGATCATAAAATGGTTTGATTCCACCGGTCATGGTGAGAAGTAAATATTCCTTTATGGATAAGAAATGTCACTAGCCACTAGTATGCTAAATACTTACGTTTTGGGAGGCACACCGAAAAAACTATATTTCATTATTTCATAGGACCTGAAGTGCTCATGAGCAATGGACTTAATCCTGAAACTCAAAATCCTAAAACAGCTGAGTGGCCACTATGTTTACATTTGAAAATACATTTGCAGAAATATTTGAGCATTTCTATTAAAGTAAAGAAAAGGAAATCATACATGGGTTCCTAACTGATATTTGTGTAGCTATACAGTTTTGAGAAGGGAGAGTCCATAAATTATTCTTTCACGGTATGGATATGTCAGACAAATGTCAATGCAGCTTCATTGTCCTGTTCAGCTGGAGCTATCAAAGGCATTCCTGGGATATTACACTGTGCCGTATTGTGTATCTAATAACCATCTACTGCGAGCCATTGCTCTGTGTGTTCAGTCAAAGGCTCTCAGCCATTAACTTTATTAAAAGTTTACTTGAACACTGGGACTCTCAGCTGCCAGACACAATCAAAGCAGGGTGATATAAACAGTTGTTTGTTTTCTATCTAGACTTTAATAAGGATACAAAAGATTGCCTAAAATGTTTGGATAGGTTAAAAAATGTAAGCCCCAAATAAATGGGAAAAATGGGGGGGGGGTTATTCTTAAAAATGTGTGTGATAAATAATAATCACCTGATAATATAACTAATAACAATTGAATATTTGAATAGGATCATGAAAAGTCATTACGAAGTAGAGCAAATTAATCTTTATCTATGGATTTAGCTGTGATTACTTGCTTGAGATGAACAAGTATACAGGGAAGTGGCCCAGGGATAGATAATGCCTGAAATTATAAATAGATCGATTGGGTTAATCATTTCTAGAATAGAAAGGATAAAAAAAGAAAAGGGAAAAAAGACATCCCCTGAGGAACAATACAGCTTTATAAGACATGAAGGCAAGACCTAAAGCTCAGGCCGCAGTGAGGTCATAGCCTGCGTTTTGCTCACTGTTTCGACTAATGAGTCAGCGGTAGGTTAAAGGTTAGCCGGTGAACCCTTTAACACTCACACCAACACCAACCCACACACACACACACACACACACACGCACGCACGCACGCACGCACGCACGCACGCATGCGCGCGCACGCACACACACACACACACACACACACACACACACACACAGTGACTGGTCATATGCCAGCAGCCAACAAAGGTGTGTGTGCATCTAAAGAAANTCAGCGGTAGGTTAAAGGTTAGCCGGTGAACCCTTTAACACTCACACCAACACCAACCCACACACACACACACACACACACACGCACGCACGCACGCACGCACGCACGCATGCGCGCGCGCGCACTCACACACACACACACACACACACACACACACACACACACACACACACACAAAAACACACTAAGGGAATGTGAAGGCTGGCATAATTCACCTCGGTTGTTCTCCTCCTTCCTTTCTGATCTTTGTTAGGTCTTTCAAGCATCTTGGCTCTTCTTCACTTTTATTTTCCTCTTGCTCTCCTTCTCTTTTGTCACATCAAAGAATTGACTTCGTCAAACTACTCAGCTGACTCCTTCACCTTCCTCTGCCCTCATACATACACACATATTATTGTCTTTGTTGGAGTGTGGGGGCGCCAGAACAGAACATCGATTTTGGGGACTACCCTTTCTGAAGGTTGTACGGAACTTAAAACAAATCAGGCAGTATTCCTGTAATAGAGATAAACAGAAATGTTACCTTCAATTATCAATCAGACAAATTAAAGGTTACTAATTGGACTATACATTTCAGATACACACACTAGCAATGATTGGAGAAAGGTTGTTGAAACTTGGCAGGACTTTTTTGGAGGAGCATGGTTGTACAGAAGTTGGTGAGCTGTGTGAGGGTCTACCTGTTCATTGATTGTGTTAAAGTTACAGCCCAAGGGTTGAGAAAGTGTAGTGGGTGTTTACCTTTCTTTCATGGCCAACAGAAGTCTCCTTTGTTTTTCAATAGCTTAATCGGCCTGTAGATAGGTTTAACACCTTTCCATGTGTGCACACACACACGCACACGCACACGCACACGCACACGCACACGCACACGCACACACACACACACACACACACACACACACACACACACACACACACACATCTAAGCATATGTGTATTACACACCGACAACTCAAACTCTAACCCCCCTAGTTGTTTTCAAAGGCTGAAAAGCAGGCCTTTGTTCTAAATCACTGAGGGTTGTGTGTGTGTGTGTGTGTGTGTGTGTGTGTGTGTGTGTGTGTGTGTGTGTGTGTGTGTGTGTGTGTGTGTGTGTGTGTATGTCAGGGCTAATGAGCCACAATTCCGCTTACCGCTGTTTTCACAACCAGTCTGTCCGTCTGTCACCCTCGGATGAGGGCGAAAGACCAAACAGAGGGATAAAGCAAGACATTAACTTAAAGAAAGAAAGAAAGTAAAACAGATAAGAGGGGGGTGGAAACAAAGGAAATATATTCCATAGACTTTCAGTTATCCATTAATTCTTCAATCTTCATTTCGAAGGATATTTGGTGTGCACTCGGACCTAAACACTCAAATCAAAGAAATGCAATGACAAAAAAGCAGCATGCATCTTCTAAAACACATCAATATAAAATGCAAATATTAACATTGCTACCATCTTGGAGGGTTATACCAATACCAAATAACTTATTCTCCTAAGACTAATAAATCCAATCGTGAAAAATCTGCACAGGGCAATTGTTCATTGACAGTCATATTCCTGACTCTAAAAACCTCTTCTCCAGAGGCCCCCAGGGGTTCAACAGCGTCTGTAACTTGATCGACAGACAGATGTTACAGCAGCCTGTCTGGGGAAAAGTAGACAAAGGGGGAAAGGGAGAGATTCAGAGTGAGACAGTGGGATCTTATTTAGTAGAGTATTTTTTTTAGGATATTGAGTACTTCTGGAATGACAACCCAGACATTCAAAAGCATAATATTAGCTCATCGTATATTACAGTGCCCGAGGGCAGAGGAGCACCAATAATCATGGTATTCATGTTCTCCTTAAGGGGCAGTTGAAAAAACTGGCCAATCACATCAAGACCTGTGGTTAGGACGGTACTCTGAACAGAAAAGGAATGTGTTCTATCCTGGCTAATAGTCTACAGTAAATCATTTCTACAGCTGTCTCATGAGATCAAGCTTTCTGTAACCTGACTCCCAGAAGGACAGATGTGACTGCCGGTCAATAACCTGCTGTCTAGATAATAAGAGGAGGGATCAGACAGAAAAGGGATAAGCGTCCTGAAATTTGATGCGGGAAAGGAGAAAAAAGAGGTAAAGAAATAAACATGGTTATGTTTAGTTAGGGTTCCTTTTCCGCTAAAAGTAAGATAATAAAGCACAAGTTTACTTTTGTAATTTCTTATACTTTTGGTTGATGTTAGATGGCTCCTAAAGACACAATTCAAGCAGGTATGTTGTAATCTAGGTAAGTAATATGACACAGTTGTAAAATATAGTTATTTTAAAACAATTTATCTCTTTTGTCAAGAGTCAAATAACTCCAAACTAAATGTTCAGGCTGAAATGCTACAGCTAACAGCTAGCTTAGTTCAGCATTAAAACTAATGGTTTCATAACTAATGCATTCACATAAAGGTTTATAACAATTTGTACCCTAAGTACGCACAAACAAAATAACATTGAAGGCATGTGTCTGAAGAACCAGGACACAAAAGCTGTCAAAACAGGCTGTTGGAAGTGAGCTGGGGACTCAACAGTGTTGTCACAGGCGGACAGGGTGAAAGGAGCTATGTGAGGAATGTACATCACCAAAATAAAATAGAGACAGAGTACAAGTTTTCTCAGTTGGATTTGTGTTTTGAGGGTTTTTTGTTTCTTGTCTTGTCATGCTAAATTGTTTTTACACTTTGAAACTAGGCTGCAGCCAACTGAGGTCACATCCATGGTATTTTTCTGGTAATTTCTGAAGGGTTTAGTGACCTGAAGTGACACCAAACGCAAAAATGTGTATTCATATAACAGCATTTCCTCACCAGAATTGTATCTCTGTTGTTTGAAAGCTTTTAAGAAAAACATTAAAAAACATTATATAGATTTATAACACTTCAAATTGCTTTTCATAGTTACAGTAAACTGAAACTGTCGTTCTGTGTTTCTTTCAGTCCGACTGTGTGAACTATGTGAAGATTGTGCACCACTTTAACCGCACCCACCTGTACGCCTGTGGGACCGGGGCCTTTCACCCCACCTGTGCCTTTGTGGAGGTGGGACAAAGGATGGAGGTAATATATTAAAAATGAAATAACTCACACTGAACTGTATCAGAAGAGCTAGTGTACAACATCATAATTGAATCATTTACTTACTTACCCATACATGCGCACACACAGAGAAACAGTGTTAAAATGCCTGAACGTGCTCATTAACCCTCTGACACTCACATAGGACATTTCCGTTTTTGTATATTTTTGTGTTTTGCCATATAAATTGTAATTTCTTTGCATTATAATCAAGTTTTACACATCCCAGAAATCAGCACAACCTCAGCTAATGATATATGTCACTCATTTTCATTTCATTTCATTTTTATTTCTTCCGCTCATGGTACGCAAAACATGTCTCTAAAAACACACCATTGAGCGAGTAGGAGCAGGGAGAAGAAAAAAATCTTAGATGACCTGCCCCTTTCTAAAAAAAACAAGATAAATAGAAATAGATGGTCTGCCCTTCATAATAATATTTTTTTTTCACAGCCAAAGATAACAGTATCTTAGGATACTGAGAGAAACACAAAAAATACTTATTCCCATTGAACCGGTTAAAGCGGAAAGATAACAAAACAACAACAAAACAACAACACCAAAACACCATATGTCCATACAATAAAAGGAAAAGGAAAAGGAAAAGGAAACCAGCTGCCACACTCTCATAACCTGCGTCCTACCTGGAAGAAACTTAATATACTGTCACTATACTAGGGGATATTGCCCATAAATAAAAAGGAACCAACAATGAGCTTGAATCTTTTCCTTATTTTCAATTAAAATAATGCTTAACCATAACATTGAAGNTTGTCAATACTATTACTGTATAACTAATATATCAGGTTAAGAGGCACATTGGATTGGTCTTTAAATACATGTTGTCTTTTGAATTGTTTGTCTAAAGTCAAGGATCTATAACTAGTACTTAGTTTTAATGATACAGTCTGGTTATTATGCTGTTTGGAGGAGGCCTCACAGGTAAGAGCACTAACTAGCTACCATCACATGTACCTTAGCTTGACTTAAATGTATTAAACGTATAGTTAAGTGATATCAAAATATAATGCAAAACATATTAATATTTGCTTGATTCCAGTGTTGAATTTAGCACAAACGTACACATAACACATACAAACGTTAAGGGATTTGCTGAGGCTGCAGCAGCCCCATCTGCGAGGCTCCACCAGCAACAAACTACAGACTGTCTGTGTCATGGCGAATACAGTCGCTGGTTTATTTATGTTTGTATAGGCCGTTGTTGTGAGTGTGGACGGTCGGAGCATATACTGCGTTAGCTTAGCCGATCTCCATTCAGAAAACACGCATTTTAAAAAGGTGTTTCGCCTGCCGTCTGTCTGCAGACTTGTCAAAGCATTAACTCATGGTCTTTACTAACCGGTTTCAGTATGTTGTTACTTCGGCATCATTTTGAAACGTGTATTACAATTAAATGACGGTAAAATATGTTCATCTTGTTGTAATTGTAGCCCCCTTGCCAGCGATTCTCTCTCTAGTTTAGCATAATCAGCCCGACTCAGCCTGGTTGTTGGCCAGCTAAGAACCTCGATTTTATGGGGCCAGAAAAACTGTGAAATGGTACCCGCTAGCCGGTACTACGCCTAGTGGAAACACAACCAAAAACGGGCCTCACACGGCATGCTTGAATCGCGCTGTAGTGGAAATAAATCACGGTCAAATATTTTCATTTTGTTGTAGTTCTAGCCCCCTTGCCAGCGATTCTCTCTCTAGTTTAGCATACTCAGCCCGACTCAGCCTGGTTGTTGGCCAGGAAAGAACCTCGATTTTATGGGGCCAGAAAAACTGTGAAATAGTACTTGAACTACGTCAAGTGGAAACGCAACTAGGGCACATCACGCTTAACCCTCTGAGACCCACATAGGACATTTCCGTTTTTGTATATGTTTTGCCTAATACATTTTCATTTCTTTGCAGTAAAATCAAGTTTTACACATCCCAGAAATCAGCACAACCTCAGCTAATGATATATGTCACTCATTAGAGACTTATATACACTATAATAGGGGATATTTGCCCATAAATAAAAATAAATAAAAAACGGAGCTTGAATGTTTTACTTATTTCATTAAAAAGAACTGCTAACCATAACATTGAAAGAAACTTTCAACACAGAAAATTGCACACATTTATTATCATTGTATCAGAACTGATTAGAAGATTCTAACTTATTATGTTCATTAGTTATGCCCATTCTTTTGGGCAGTGTCCATGGGCGTTTTTTTGCGAGGAATTCTCATTTTTTGTCCTGCCAATTTTGAAGAGTAGGCCTACACACTGAGCAGATTCATCTGAATTTTCACCAACATTGTCCCCTTGAAAGATCTGCTCCAAAGCCTCAGCTGTAGTAAACGTCCTTGCCATACCTCAGTTTACTTTCAAAACACTAAAAGAACGTATTCCAACTTTGTGCAATTTCACCAAAATAAGTAAACGCCTCTCAATGAAAAACTTTCTGTAGTTTAAGAGGCTGAGAAGTTATGACGCTTTGAACACAACGTGATCTTTGGGATCGTATACGGCCCCGTGGGTCTCAGAGGGTTAAAGCGAGCTCCGCGCTGTAGCGGAAATGCGCCATTAGTGCCCCGGCACTTAGTACCCCCATGGAACTTAAGCCCTGGCCACACGAGGACGATAACGGTCGTATCTGCTACAGTTCACTATCAGAATGACGGTCCGGCCACACAAGGCCGACATGGAAACGCAGAAAACGATGACGATAACGTGGGTAGATCTGCAAACGAAACGCTCTGGGGTCGGGAAACGGCTCCGTGTTTACGCCTATACGATCATTTCCTGATAACGTTGAAGCAATAGCCCCGCCTCTCCCCACCTCTCCTGCTCAGAGATCAGCTGCTGGGCTGTCAGAAGAGGGGGAGGAAAAGAGAGCTCCGTCCTCCGTGTTTTATTCTTATTATTATATAGAATCGTTATTCATTTGTTTTAAAGCTCAATAAATAACAAAGAAGACCTTTGACCGGCACTTTTCAAATTTTGTCCGGAAGATTTAAACTTTAACGGACATGTTGACCGGCGAAAAAAAATCTAGCTGAAACTCTGCTGCACGGTCCCCTCATCCCTTGGAAGAGGCGGAGAGGTGGGCGTTTTTCATCTGCTGGTGGACTAACCGGAGAGAATGACAGTGCTTGCCTCGACGGGGAGGGATTGCATTTGCATTGGAGCAAACGCTTGCCTCGGGGCGGGAGAAAAAGAGCCACAGCGGAGAATAAACAGAAGGGCAACCATGCGGCGGGAAGCCTTCTTCGCTGCTTTTGTGGCCAGGACACAAGCGCCACCTTACAGGCGCGGCCATATGTACTACAGCGTCTCCAGCGCTTTCGAGGCCGGTCTCGTGTTGAACGGACCACGTTTCTTGTGCATATCTGCGTGTGGCGGAAGACTTTTTGATAACGAATTGCGGTCCGTTTTGCTCTTGCGTGGTTGTTTTTGTTTTATACCAATGGTTTGCGACCAACAGTTGGGTGACGAATCACACCACATGCCAATGTCCGATTTCCAGCAGTCGTAACAGGAGTGACTAATGTGCTTCAGTATTTGAGAGTATTGGCATGTGAGCAGCAAAAACCTGCTTGGAGGGAGACCCTGTTGTTTGTGTGTGTGTGTGTGTGGTGTGTGTGTGTTGTGTGTGTGTGTGTGTGTGTGTGTGTGGTGTGTGTGTGTGTGTGTGTGTGTGTGTGTGTGTTGTGTTTGTGTGTGGTGTGTGTGTGTGTGTGTGTGTGTTGTGTGTGTGTGTGTGTGTGTGTGTGTGTGCGTGTGTTGTGTGTGTGTGTTGGGGGGTTGTTTGGAATGTGGTGCACGTGTGCGCTAATGTTTTTGCATGCAATGCTCCCAACTCTTGGCTCTGACGCTGAGGTGGGCCCAGACAGATGTGCAGCCCTGCAGAAACTTTATCGAGCCTTGTTTCGGTTAAAAAGGGAATAAAAAAACGAAACCTAGATAAATACAAGAAAGAATGGGATCGGGTACAGCCTACAAAAAGCGCCACTCCCTGGCTGTCTCTTTTCTTTTTTTTGTTCCCAGCGACTTCAACGAACCGTGTTCCCTCTCCGTGCTCTCGTGGAGGTAATGAATAATAGAGGAAGTGATGTCCTCCCTCGCTCCGTAGTTACATCACACGCTCGATTGGCGCCCTCCTCCTCTGCACTCCTCACCTTTAATAAATCATTCGGTCTTCAAGGACAACAATCCGTCCAGCACGGTCTAAGCCATGGGTTAAAAAAACGCTTTCCTTCCCCTCAACTACAACCTCCACCTCCTCTACCGCTCCCAAACCAGAAACACCCCTTCTTAAACTTTCACCTCCTTTCTTCGTACGTCTCCTTTTTAATTTTCGTGCTTCTCTCACTTTCTTTTTTCTAATTTTGGGAGACAAATCAGACTAGGCATGAGAGGCCATTCATTCCACCTTCCAACCCTCCCTCTGTTCTCTCCCATGGGCAACCATTTCACTTAGGCTCTCATGCCTGCCAAAGAGTTTTTCGACCGCAATGTTTAATGTTCCTCATCTCTCCCCTCCCTTATAAATGCCCCCCTCTGTCTGTCTTTGTCCCTCCATGCCGGCAGAAATTCCTGGTGGTGCTGACGTCACATATGTCCCAAATCGGATGGTTGCAAACGGGGGTAATATAGAAATGATCTCGCAGTGTGTCCTTAGAGAGACATTTTCCCCTGCCCATGCAATTTTGATTATCTCTTTGATATACTACAGCTCGCGCAAGCATATAACGATATTATAAACGTGTTTCAGAATTGCATTCTTGTCTAGGCCTTATTGTTAGTTAGGAAAATTATTTATACTTTGGCTGTATGAATGCAGAGCATCAGTGCAAACATGAATGAGACCAGAATGAAAGCCTTTGGCCTAGAGTCGGGAAAAACCACTGCCAGTTTGGGAATAAATACCAAGGAGTTTGGTAATGAAATAGAATGTCAATTAAGGATCAAAAGAGCACAACATGCGC